ATTTTCTTTAGGAGACCCAAACCAAACAACAACACTCACGTTTTGTCACCTTGGACTCTGTCAAAAAATAAATTGTTAATTGTTTTTCCAAAAAAAAAAAAAAAAAAAAATCATTTGTGTCTGTCCTACCAGAAAAAAAAAACCAATAAATAATTAATGTGTACACGTCGATCAAATAACAAACTTCTACTTTTTTTATTTTTTAAAAACTCATGCCAAAAGAATCGAATAAAAGAAATAGAAACAATCAACAAGAAAATATCGCTGGGTAAGTGTTTTAAGGATGGCGGTGGTGGTTATCGCCTGCCACTCGTCGTTACTCTAGTTTATATATAAAGATTGGTGGTTGCCACACATCATTGCTCTATATATTTTAAATTTAAATTTTAAATTAACTTTCACACACAACATCCACATATAGCTCAATTATAGAAAGACCTATTACTACCTATTGTATACCTACAGATATCGATCCTTTTTTACCAAGCAGTGGAAAAACTGTAAATAATGCTTTCGTAAACAAATTTATTGATTCCTTCATTTATAATTATTAAAAATATAATTAATAACTATTAATATCATTAATATTTATCCATGAAATTACAAAAACTTAGGATTTTATAAAAAAATATGATATCGAATTATGGACACCCACCAATTATTATATTTGGAAATTGTCTGTTGGTTTTGAGATGACGAACAATAAAATACAAGAATTTCAAGAATTTAAAAACTTAATTGAATCAGTTAAGGAAAATAACAACAATAAAGACTTGTCAAAATTATATGATGTAAGTATTTTACGTGAATTTATTTTGTTTGTTGAAAATGTGATGATAAACAAGACTGTCAAAAAATGACTGCATCATTGTCATCGAGATATCAATGATAATATTTTGATGATATGCCAGCAATGAAATTTTTGTAATTGCAGCAGGATAAAGGCATAATATGTTAGATGCTTATATTTCTATCTGATTATCTGAATATTAATTACTAATTTTATGTACATATGTCTGTCTATATTTAGGAATCAAAGCGTGATTTAGTTCATGTTAATTTTTGGAAAGTTTTTAATGGACCTGCCTATAACTTTTTATCCTTTTTGGCTTCATCTTAC